TTCAGAAACATGACTGGCTTCCTGACTGGGTAGCCAAGGCAACTTGCCCAGGTTTTGGGAAAGGGAGGGACCCATTTGCCCCAACCAGAGGCAAAAACCCCACTGCCCCACAAGAAGCAGAACTAAAAAGACTCACCACCTTGCCACTGGACCTGCCTCCACTGACAATCTTTGGAATCCAGTAGTTGCCAGCCTCTGATGGGCTAGCAGCTCCTGGCTAGCTGGGATGGCACTGTCAAGGCCAGAAGTAGGCCGAGATACTTGGCAAAACTCACCAGTCGGCTCTAAACCAGTCACTGAAGCATGATTCGGCAAGCCTCCTCAGTGGCGGAGGTGCTGAGTTAGTCAATACACCCTCCGCCATGTTTAGCCTGAGAATGGGAAGATCTTGGCTAAAGACTTCACCGTCAGTGAATACATCCTCAGAGTAGTGGCAGTTGTAATGCAGGAAACACAGCAGCCAATTTCAAAAATTGTCAATTCCCATACGCAGCCACATTACGATGACCTGATCATTTGCTTTTCAGCAAAGTTGGTTGTGAAATAATTCCAATACAAACAAAACAGCTTACACCAGGAAGTGAAAAACAACTAATTAAAGTAAGGCACAGGACGCTTAGCGAATGTTTCGATGCTGATATCAGTGTCTCAAGCACTTTTCAAGAAATGGCCCATTCATGGAGAAGAAAGCAACAGTTACATCCACTGGCCTGGTCAAAGACTAAGCTGTTAGCTCCTCAAAAGAAGCTCGCATTCTGTCTCACATATTAGGCCACAACCACAGAGCAAACACTGATCACATTCTGCAAATCCTCGTCACTAACTGAGCTGCTTCTCAGGCTGATTTTGCATCTTGTCAGTGCAGTCAGTTCAAAACATAGTGAATGAAGCTTGTTTCTTCAAGAAATAAGCCGTGTTTCATACAAACAGTTTGGTAGAGGACTTGTTAATCCCTCAATGCACAGACAATAGTATTCAAAACAATGATGTGAGTCTCATCAGTGCTGTATATTGAACAGATGAGACATTCAGCTCTGAGAAAATTACAGGGTGTGTGGAGCCTGTGAAAATAAAATGTTTCTTCCTTCCTACTCCCATGTCGTCAACTGTCATGAGTTAAAGTGCATGCAAGTTAATAGATTTCTCAAACAAAGGTTTGTCATGGAATGGGTGAAAGAGTAACTTGAGAAGTGAACGCACACCAATCATCTCATTACAAACCTTTCTGTCCTTTGTCCCTGCACAGTCACTTTGTCTTCATTGAGTCTGGAGCTTGGGGATGGAAAATCAGCCAAGGCTCCTTCTTCTGGTTGTTATCCTGTTACCACTTTGGGAAAAGGTGTTCACATGAGCGTGTGTGTGTTGTGTTGAGGTGTGTTGAATAGCTCCCCTGCATTCAGACACCAGGCTTACGCATGCACAGCAGTTACTTAAAGGGTCACCAATCTGATCCTGCATGCTTCCACTGATATTGGATTATAACCAAATGCATGTCTTCATTTCAACCCCATCACAAGTTTCACTTGAGTTTTCGCTTTGATTCAATGCGAACAGCCACAGTGCTCTCCCCCACTATCATTTGAGCTGACTTAGTATGAGAGACAAAGCACTCCACGACTTACTGACTAGTGGGAGTGTAGATATCGATGTTCTGCAAGGAACGCACCATCTAATCCGTGCAAAAGCGTACAAATGACAATGCAAGTGTCACCAAATAATCTTTTTAATCATATCAGGAGAGGGATAGACATTGGACAAAGAGAATAACTGAATGGCTACAGCATTGAAGGAGGCCATTCAGTCCCTTATGACCAATGCTGGATCTCTGAAGGATCCAAACTGCCTCTTGCCACTACCCAGCCTTCTCAGTGTGGCTGAGCATATTCATTCTTTGCAAATCATTCTTGTGACTCTTTCCTTCACATCGTTGCTAAATTGCAGCACCAGTTGTAATACGCTAGTTAAGACCAAAGAAGTGTTGTATACAAGGTCAACGTTCTGCTTCAGATTATACCGTGTAATTTTTTTTACCTCAGTTCAACACTACATCAAAATGATGACACATCCTGCAATATCCCTGCGTGCACGCATGTATCAGCAGAGATATTGTGGTCAAGATTAGAGGGCCTAAACCTACAAGCTTGTTGAGAAGAGGCCATTCAGGTCACTGCTGCTAAATCACCAAGGCAAGCTGGTCACCATGGCTGTGTTGGGTAAGCCTGAAGAGGAAATTTGTGCAGCACTTGCAATCATTTCAAGGGAATCATTGGTATTTGGGAAGTACCAGTAGATTGGAAAATGTCTAATTTACTGTCAGTGTTTTGAAAAGGGTGAACACAGAACATAAGAAAAGGGATCATAAGTCGGCCATTCAGTCTATCTAACCTTCTCTGCTATTCAATAAGACCATGGCTGATCTGATAGGGGTCTTAACTCCATTTTCCTGTCTATGCCCTGTACCTTTGACTCCCTGTCAGTCAAAAATCAATCAAACTCAGTCTTGAATATATTCAACGATCAGGATTAGAGAATTCCAAAGCTTCACAACTTTCTGGCTGAAGAAATTCTTCCTCATCTCCAACTTCTCACCTTGAAAATATACATCCAGTTCTAGATTTCTCCAGGAGGGGAAATGTCCACTCCACATCCACTCTGTTAAGCAACACCCACGAAGCTCATATAAAGCAGCCCATTTGTTTGGGACCTCATTCAATCCCTCCACTGCAAACACTCAGTAGCAGCCGTGCATACCATCTGCAAGATGCACTGCAGACATTCATCAATGCTCCTTCGACAGCACCTCCCAAGCCCACAACCACTTCCATCTAAAAAAGCAAGGGCAGCAGATTGATGAGGACACCACAACTTGCAACTTCGCCTCCAAGCTACTCACCATCCTCACTTGGAAATACGTCATCGTTCCTTCACTGTCGCTGGGTCAAAATCCTGGAAACCCCCCTCCCCAACAGCACTATGGGTACTTACACTGCATGGACTGCAGTGGTTCAAAAAGACAGTTCATCATCACCTTCTCAAGGGTAACTAGGGATGGACAATAAATGCTAGCCCAGCCAGCAACACTCACATCCCCTTTTGTTTCAATATGCTCCCTCAGGATCTTATATGTTTCACCATTCGTTCCTCTAAACTCCAAAGAATATAGGCCCAACCTATTCAACCTATCCTCATAAGACATTTTCTTTAACATATTGAATCATGTTAGGGAACCTTGTCTGAAATGTTTCTTTAAATAAGGAAACCAAAACTCTATGCAGTGTTCCAGAAGCAGTGGTATGGAGTTTTACTGATCCCATGTTTACATTCCACAACACAACTGAATCAATATAACTGCAGATCCATTAGTCTTCATCAATTCCATTATTTTGCACAGAAATGAAGTATCAGGATTATCTGCACAGATATCAGCCAATAAGCAGTTGTTAGTGCAGCTAGAAAGAGGAAGACACGTCTGACCCAAACGCCTCGATTTTGCTGAGGACGAGACAGTTCCAGTCGACTGCTGCAAACCATACAATCTTGTGTACTTAGGCTCCCAAAAGGCATGCAATAAAGGTCAACATGAAAAATTTCTAATTAAACTCAAGCCGGTGGAGATTCCAAGTAAATGTTGGGAGCGCACAAGAAACTGGCTGCCATTTAGAGAGCAATGGATATTGGTTAAATGGTTAATGTCAGGGTCGGGGAATACATAGCAAAGATGTCCAGCTTTTTTGTACATCAACAACTCTGGTGCAAAAACTCAGTGCAAATTACTTACGTCCAGAGATAGTGCTGAACTAGGTGGAGCTTTCTCGTGTTATATCCAGAAATCAAGTGAGGTTCCCCAATTTGATACAGCTCCAGGCAGGATATCCCAAATCAATAATCTCCTGGGTGAGGAAGGATGAACTGGCTTCCTTCTTTATTCACCCACCTCCTTAGTTGGTTGTATGAAGATTCATTTGAAAATGGGTCATTCCCTTGGGCATAGCTTTCCCCCAAGCCCAAACTGAGACCAAGCACAGAATCGGGAACCGTTTCACGGAGCATCCGCGCTCTGTACGTGATAATCGACAATGCCTTCCAGTCGCCAACCAGTTCAACTCCCCCTCCCACTCCATTGATGACAAGTCCATCCTGGGCCTCCTCCAGTGTTACAATGATGCCACCCGCAAACTGAAGGAGCAACAGCTCATATTCTGCCTCAGGCGCCTACACCCCAATGGTCTTAACATAGAATTCACCAGTTTTAAAATCTCCCCACCCCCGGCCTTATCCCAGGTCCAATCTTCCCTCTCACCGCGCCTCCTTGACCTGACACAACCTACCCATCTTCTTCCCCACCTATCCGCCCCATCCATCCCACTGACCAATCCCCACCACTCCCTACCTGTATCCACCTATCACCATCCCACCTACCTCCCACAGCCCAACCCTTCCTCCTTCTATTTATTTTGCAGCTCCCTTCCCCCTCCCCATTTCTGAAGAAGGGTCCTGGCCCGAAACATCAACTTTCCTGCTGCTCTGATGCTGCCTGACCTGCTGTGTTCCTCCAGCTCCACACTGTGTTGTCTCTGACTCCAGCATCTGCAGTTCCTGCTATCTCCCTGTGTTTTTAAAATAACCTATTTAGCCAGGCTTTCTCAATTTCACAAATAGCGAGTTCATTAATTACGATAAGAATTGGTAACAACTCACAAATACGGAGATTAGAAAAAAAAGAGGTGATTCTAAAATGATAAAAGGTTATCTTTAAAAAAGACTTACATATCAGTCTCTTAATCATTCACAATAGACAAATATTTTAGCACTACAGTTTCTGCAGTAGATGTTACCAGTTTACCACCCATCATTTTGCAGATTATTTGGGATTCTATAGTTCTGGTTCCTTTCAACTATGAATTCCAGGTCTCGCAGGATGAAGGAGAGTCCTTTTGTTTTCTGTTTCTCTAGCTGGCTGATTGCTAGCACTCAGAATGATTATTATCTTTACCTGCAACAGAGGGGTGCCTAGGGGATAGTAATTTGACTAGAACCTTTGCCATATTCTAACGTTCAAACGCAGCTTGATACACACAAGAGTGTTCAATGTCACTGGCACACTTCAGTAGAGTTGAAAGTGGCTTTTTAATTGACGTCCTTGCATATTTTTTAAGGAGGACAAACACACAGGATGTGCCTGCAGTTACGGACATAACTTACAGGAGTGACCTGCTGGTGAGCAGAGGGTTATCAGCCCCTGTTTATCTCAAGTCACACTCACTCTCTGTTTGAAGTTTCTTTGATACCTTTAGGTGTTACATCCCAGTGGTCCCACACTGATTTTTTTTAAACCAGCCAGCCAAGAAATTTACACTTGCAATTATTTTGTCTTTGTAGCAGTCCGCTTTTAACAAAAAAAGTTTTGGAATTAAGGGCTAAAACCACCCATAGTATTTTGAGGCACTGACCTATCATTGTAAGATTTTCTTCTTGTCTCCACAATCCTCTCCTCCACTGAAACATTTCATTGGGACATCTGACTGTACTTGAACCTGATGTCCATTCAGTGTTCCACATGGCCTCCATGTAATATTAGTTGTCCAATGTTCTGGCAATACTTTGCATAAGCTTAAATAATTGCATTGTCTTTACATGGTTGGAGATAAGTCCATGGTAACAGCCATATTTCAGAGTCACTGACCTTAATCCTAGAATATTTATTTTGCATTTATGTCCCACCGTACATCATTCAATGTTTTGCATTTGCCAGTATGCAGTTCAACCTGCAGCCTGTCTCCCTATTTGTGTAATTAATCCACATCTATCTGCGAGCCCTAAGCTTCATCTTGATTCTTATTTTTACTGTAGTGACAATTTCAGTTTGGCTGCAGATCTGTGGAATTTGTCAAGTTTTTAAATCATTAATCCTTGGCTGCTATTAATTATTTTCAAATCCATCCATAGCCAGCCCCCCTCTTTAATTCTGTAATCCCCTCCAGCCATTCAACTCTTGGCAGTCTCTGCACTACTTCAGTTCTGGCCTCTTGCTTATCCATGGTTACAATCACACGAGCCATTGTCACAGCCTTACCATGAAGATCCCAGGCCCCAAACTCCAGCATCTACTCCCTTAGCCTCTCTACTTTATTCCCTTAAAGTCTGCCTCTCACCTGTCCTGATATCTCGTTGTGTGAATCCTGTCAAGTTGTACCTCCTTCCCTAAAACGGAATTTTCATTTGTATCCACATTTTCATCTGTATCAATTATGTACATAACAAACAATAAGGGCCCCAGTACTGATCCTTGTGGTACACTGCTGGACACCGGCATCCAGTCACTTGAACAGCCTTCTACCACTTCCCTTTGTGTCCTATTATGAAGCCAGTTTCTGATCCATCTCACCAAATTTCCTTCAATTCCACGCGCTTTAACCTTCTCAATCAGTCTCCTGCATGGGACGCTGTCAAAAGCTTTGCTAAAATCCATATAGAAACCTTTTCACTCAGTAGGTGATGAGAATCTGGAATGAACTGCCTGGAAGGTAGTGAAGGCTGGAAACCCTACAACCTTTAAAAAAAAATTTGGATGAGTACTTCAAACATGATAACATTTGAAGGATATGGTACAAGTGCAGGAAATTGGCATTAACACACTTTTAGTGGTGGTTATGTCGGTGCAGACTTAATGGGCCGAAGGGCCTTTTCTGCACTGTATAAATCTATGAAAAGGGGCACAGAATGAACCAGATGGGCTTCTACCACATTCAACAATGTTTACCAGTAGGCTAGCTTTTAATTCCGAGTTTTATTGAAAAAAAATCAAATTTTCACCAGGTGCCATGGCGGGATTTGAACCCACACATCCCAGGACATTACCCTGGGGCTACTGGGTTATTAATCAAGTCGACCTTACCACTACAACACCCTCGCAGGGTAAGGAAGACTATTTAGCAGCAAAGCCATCAGAGGTGGTTCTTAGCCATTCCTTTAATGTGAAGTTAGTTTACTAACTATTAGCGGGACATTGGCTTATGGGAAGATTCAGTAGCTGTGGAGTGAGTGCGCAGCACAAGCTATGTACTATATTGACTGCGAGCATCAATTGACCATAGTTTATCAACGGGTCGGTGGGTGGGGGTGAAAAAACAGTCAAACTTTACAGAAATTACAATTTCAAGGATCCACAGAAGGGCAACGCAATCACACGGATCAATGCTCATAGAAATTTCATGAACACTGATCCACTAAGAACACTGTCAGCTGCCTCCAGCTCATATTTCAAGATAATGACCAGCAAGGAAGCAACACTGGCCTCAGGGCAGCTACAGAATAAAGTCCTCCCCACAAGTGCAAACATTCGCCAAGGCCCGCTGAGAATTTGAGCCTTTTTATTATTATTTATCATTACCATATGTTTGGAGACTGTGCACGTCACAAATGGTAAACATATTGGCACTGCTTTATTTTCTGCACTGGACACTGCTATAAAATAACTGATGGAATCTGGAAATATAAAGAGGCTCCATAGTAGCTAGCTGTTTTGCTCTGATCCAATCTCAGTGCGATCTCATATACTAAAGCACTGGATCAATACACAAAGAGGCAAGCCTGATCGATAAGGCTTGAATTATTGCTTCATTTTTCTTCTTATTATAGATGAGTTGTGTTATTTTCCCCCGATCAATATTTTACAACCTTTTTTTATCAATTTCTCCATAAATTTTGTGATTAGTTTTAACTGTGTATTCCGACAGGACAAATAAGGCCTAGCTGGAGTTTTCTCTCCTCCCTCTTTTTTTAAAGACGTCACGAAGACTTTTATGAGAGTACTGAAATTCAGGTTGTTCAGTACCTTGCTGTGTTGTATAACTGAAAAATCTGACAGATTAACCCAGAGTCTAATGTCAAAGCAAACCCCCCACATCACCCCAGTGAATGTTCAATATAATTAAGATGCCTCAAACAAGTTTGTCTTTGCAACAAACAACCAGTTTGCAACCTGCCTGACTCTATATTGTAGATGGGCCTCTCAAATGCAATATAATATCTTTATTTACTTTTTTCTTGGAACACAAGCGTATCAAACAAGGCTAGCATTTGTTTTCCACCCCTAACTGACCTTTAAATGAGTGGCTTGCTAGGCCACTACAGAGGGCAGTTAAGAGTCAACCACATTATTGTGGGTCTGGATTCACATGTAGGCCAGACCAGGTAAGGACAACAGATTTCCTTCACTAAAAGGAACTTAGCGAATCAAGGGGGTTTTACAACAGTCGATGAGATTTGGCATTAATTAGTCACCATTGTCACAACTAATGTTATATTCCAGATATATTGAATTTAAATTCCATCAGTAGCTATGATAGGATTTGAACTCATGCCCACAGAATTGCTAGTTCAATAACATGACCACTATGCCACTGTCCCCTTCATTTATAAGGTCTGCAATGGTCCTCAAGGGTATACTTGCTTGGCTTCCTCCTTCCACCCCATCTCCATACTGGCTGTCCCAGCTAACAGCCATGATACAAGCCCATATGAAGTCTGGCACACCAACATGACCTTCCCTCCAAATCTGACTTTCCTTTGGCAGTGATGGAACATCCACTCACTTGGAGTAGCCCTAAACTGGCCCCTCCCTCACCTGGCAGCCAACCATAGCCCCCCCATCACCATCCCTCCCACCCCCACAACCCCATATCTACTGATAAATCCAACTTAAAGTTTCATCCTGGTCACTCTTCCTTCTTGTGATCCAACCATCACTTGGCTACGAATCTCAGGGGCGAAAAGCTTTATCCAGCCTTTATTAGTTCATTCGTGGGAACATGGGCATCATTTGCTGGGCCAAAATTTATTGCCCGTCCCTAGTCGCCCTTGAGACGGTGGTGGTGAGCTGCCTTCTTGAACCGCTTTAGTCAGTGCATTGTAGGTGTACCCACAATGTCATCAGGAGGGAGTTCCAAGATTTTGGCCCAGTGACACTGAAGAAACTTGCTTTTTAGCTTCTTGTTTGATGTTAGTTTAAGGCTGCTTTAAGCCAGTGCAAGTTCAGGTCAACTACTGCCAAGTGCCCCTGATTTGATGGTAATTTGGACCGCCATTTAGGGTTACCGCAGAATGGCTGGTGTGTGGAAAAGGGGGCAAAAATGATGCTGCAATGATATAGTGAGGGCACTTCACTGCGGCTGGGGCCGGAATCCACAGGCAGAATAGAGGACAGCGTTCCCCTACATGTTGGCCCTGCTCTGTCTAACCTTTGACCAAGGGTGGAAAGGAAAGAATTTTGTTCACTCGCATGAACACCTCACCCACACTGAGGGAAAGAAAGGCATTGCTGGAACCACTGCCTCAAATGCCGAACTATTTAACACGAGCATGTTATTTCAACCAATAGCGAACACCAGGCCCTCAAACGGCCATTTGCAAAATGTTGGAGCATTCAGAGAGTGTGAGGTGCGGCTGTGGTTAAAGGCAATCTCGGGCGGGCAGCCGAAAGAAGAGTGGATTGTTAGCAAAACAAAAACATTTAAATTGGCCTTTCGGACAGTGTCCTTCAAATTTATGGAAAGCCAAAACCCAGACAGCTAAGTCTGGATTGATTTGGTGAAAATCATGATTCAAAATTTAACAGCCAACAGTTTATTGCATACATTAGCATACTGTGTGTAGAGCTTAGAATCCATCTTCCCTTCACCTCCCCCCAGTGATGGTGTGTTGACTAGAATCCATTGAGCTGAATTTTTTTTTGTGCACGTGAATATGGAAGAACTTGATTACTTCCCAGTCAGTTCCTCGTGGCTTTTCATCTAGTAATGATGAATAGGATGCAAGTAAAAGTACATGAATTGGTCTGTCTGATTTTGACTGCACATCCCAGTGGGTTGACTTCATTTATGTCAGCCTAATATACCTACTGAATACAGGATTAAAAATCTACATGCACAAGCTCAGCTGTGGCTTCAGCAAAAAAAAAGTAATTTGGGCATTGGAATGGGACCAATAAATCAGAAACCCTTAGCTGGAAGTGGTTCAGAAAAGTCTGTTCTGAACAGTTCTGACTAAAAGTGAGGGTGAATATATTCCTATCTCTCCTTCGCTTTCCAGGCAATTGCCCCTCAATGGGGTTTGGGTGGCAGTTCCTCAGGTAACACGCTGACATCCTCCAATTGCAGGCATCACAGAAAGAGGCTATTCAATCTTCTGGAAAGTAACCCCCTTACATGAAGAATGGTCCTTCGGAACTGTATTAGTTCCCTGAGGAGAGCAGGAAAGAAATATGAAAGGGAAAAATACAGGGACTTGATTCCATCCGACATAGAAGGGAGAGTGAGTAACAGGGAAATGAGCATCACAGAATTGCTACAGCAAATGAGGCCACTTGGTCTGTACCGGTTCTATCCCCTGGTGCCAATTTCCTGCCTTTTCCCCAAAGCCCTGCATGCCATTTCCATCTATCTCATCAACGATTAACTCACACTAGTGGCCGAGAAGTTTGCGGGACTGTGTGCCCACCTCATCGTGAATACCCACAGCGGGTGCTGCTGAGCGGCAGGAGGATCGGAGGACATTCTGTTCCCACTGCCACCTCACTGTGGCCAGCTGAACCAGCAGTGCCTGGCAACTGAAGCCTGTATCCATAACACTCAGCCACCATCCTTTCCCCCTCAGGTAAACCACCCTGAGCCCAGCAGACACTACTCCGCATGTCTCAACTCCTACCCGGGGAAACCCTCTGAGTAGTCGGTGGCACAGCCGAATCCTAGGCCGTGCTTCTGCTGAAATGATGAATTGAGGTGTTGACTCTGGCTGTTATCTGCTTGGCTGGGGTCAGTATTTTCTCCTTTGGAAGGATTTGAATGATTGATCTCCTCGCTGTGTTTTGCTTTATTAACTCCCTGACTAGTGAGGGGAAAAAGGGAAGGGCACAAAGGAGAGGCCTGTGAGCTTTTCCCAGGCCACCCTTCCCTCGGGACAAGAGTCTCACTAATGAGCAGCAGCTCCAGGAGAACCCAACACTTGCTAATTACCCAAAACAATGATTAATTCCAAGATTGGAGGGCCTGATCACCAGTGAGTCGATAAAAAAAAGCACTCCTCCAACTTGATACAGGCCCTTTGAAAAATGTAAACTACTGTGGCTTATGGTTTCCTTTCTTATGTTTCTCTCTCGCTCTCCCTGTTCCTTTTCCTATAATGGCATGTATCATTCCACGCCAGCCTTCTCTAATTTCTCCCGCTAATCGTACATAGGCCTCCAAAGTAAACACAGTTCTGATCCAAGGATAACTCTGAGACCAGATGGGGAATTTTAACCTTGTGACTCTCACCACCTCCACAGTACTATATTCCCAACCTATCAGTCAGGCAGGCTGCAGATTCAGACAAATGCATTTCCCCATTACTCACTCTCCCTTCTAACTATGTCGGATGCTATCAAATCCCTGTATTTTTCCCTTCCATATTTCTTTCCTGCTCTCCTCGGGGAACTAATACAGTTCCAAAGGACCATTCTTCACATGAGGGAATTACTGTCCAGAAGACTGAATAGTCGATTTCTGTTCCTACATCTTCTGGTCTTACAAGATTATTCAAGCCTAAGTCAGACAGATTTTTGCACACTAAAGGAATCAATGGTAATGGGGGAAAGGCAGGAGAGTGGAGTTGAGGATGATAGTGGCACAGTGACTCCGTGGTTAGCGCTGCTGCCTCGGAACCCAGATTCAATTCTGCTCTCAAGAGACTGTCTGTGTGGAGTTTGCACATTCTCCCCGTGTCTGTGTGGGTTTCCTCCGGGAGCGCCGGTTTCCTCCCACACTAAAATGATATGCAGGTTAAGTTTTTGCCCATTCTTGTCCAGGGATGTGTAGGCAAGGTGGATTAGCCATGGGAAATTAAAGGTTACAAGGATAGGCGAGGGGATTGAGTCTGGATGGGATGCTCCTCAGAGGGTTGGTGTAGACTCGATGGGCAAATGGCCTGCTTCCACAGTCGGGATTCTTTGATCAGGTGAGCCGTGATCTCATTAAATAGTGGAGCAGACTTGATAGGTTGAATGGCTGAATGGCCCATACTGCTCCTGCGTCTTACGGTCTGAACCCCTTTGGTATCGCAGCCAAGCGGCCATACCTCATCCATTCTGCTCAAAGTGACTGCCTGCACTGTTGAGTTTGATCTCTAACTTGATGATGCTCTCACAGCCGCACTTTCCAGCAGGGCTCACGGATCGACAGTTAGGAGTGAGAATCTGGGCTCAAATTCCCTTCTGTAGTAGCCTGGGAATGCAGAACCCAACATGCTGTGACTGGTGACTCCTGTCCTGACTGACGCTGAAGAGGCAGCATCGCAGCCTCTTTACTGCAATATTGGCGAATATTTGTCTCTTCTATGTAATAGCTCTCATTTACGATTGGCAGGAATGGCAAAGGCCACCCAATACTAGTAAATATGGTGTCCAGCATGGCATTAAATCCTAGAAATGAAGAAGTGCCCAGATGCCAGCACCTTATGATATCTTCCCTAACATCCTAAAGTCAAGGATTCCTTGTAGGTGAGTCAGGACATTAAGTATCAGCTGGCCAATTAATCATAGGAGTCATAGGACTTTGGTCCCCAGTCAAATATTGAGTGAAGATAGCAACAAAGAAAGGATAAAAGATTCTATCCTACATCTTCTGGTGTTATGGAGAATTGCACCTGGGTGCACAGATCCATTACAAATACTAACATTGAGTGGATCGGTAGCTCAGTGGTTAGTACTGTTACTTCACTGCACCAGGGACCCAGGTTTGATTCAAACCTTAGGTGGCCATGTAGAGTTTGCACATTCTCCCAGTGTCTGTGTGGGTTTCCTCCAGGCGCTCCAGTTTTCTCCCACAGTCCAAAGATGCATAGGTGAGGTGGATTAGCCATGGATAAAGTGGGGGTTGCAGCGATTGAGCAGGGGTCAAGGTGAGACGCTCCTTGGAGGGTTGGTTCTGACTCAATGGGCCAAATGGCCTCTTTCAGCACTGTAGGGATTCTAAATCCAAAGACTCCCTGCAAATACTGCCCTACACTGAAAATATTGTCACTCGCCCGTATGAAACAACAGAAAATAGTAGGAAATTCCAGGCATCCTCTGCAAATATTCATCAGCACCCAGGATCCCCCAAAAAATCAACAAATCTCTGCGGAGACCTGGAAAACACAATGACACCTCTATAAACGCCCCGCATTGCAGGCACAATGCCAGAAACATTTTGGAAATATTACAATTCCAGGTGATCCCCCATGTTCGTAAATGGTCAGACTCTTCCAGAGATGTCCTACACTACATTCCCCAGGATCTCCTGGAAATACCGATGCCCTTCCAGGAGAATCGCACCCCTCTATTGCCAAATAGTCCAACACCCGGCGGTTCAATAGGTCCCTTAAAGCCGAGATCCGGTGACAGGTGGGTGAAAGCTTGTGGATCGCCTGGGATCTGCTCACAGACTCCGGAATGCCCAATTTAAAAGCATGTAATAGAGAGGCCTTCTGTGTCAACAATTTGACAGTCAACTGCGAATGGATGAATCTGGTCACATAACAGCAGGTAAGAGCGAGAGGCTATCAATTAGTTAACAGGCTGATAAAATTATCTTCAGCGATTGTAGAAGTTAATGTTTGCTTTGTTATCGTGGATGTGCAGGTGGAATCTCTTTAGCGAAAGAAGCCAGTTTTAGTCTCTCGATGCTCAAGTCTCCTCCCCTGGGATTAAGGCCACACACTCTGGCATGTCATACACATCCTGCCTCGCAATTTCCCCGTCGAGAATCCACTGACCGCACTCTCCACAAAGAATACATTTACAAGCCTTATCACCTCGTCACCTTTCCTTTCCCACCACCAACTCCCCATTAAAACTGCGGCTCTTGAAACACCCCAAGAGCCTTAGATTGTTTGTAGAACTGATGGGGAAGTCCTGGGCCATTCAAAGAATGTGTCAGGTTCTCTCTTTTTTTATACATATATATGTAAATACAAATATATACCAGGAAATTCTGCTTTCAAACTGCGAGAAGGAAGAGGTTGGCATTTTCAGAGATTTAAAAATTGCAGCACAGGGGTCTCCCCCCACTTGGGGCAGGAAACCAGGAAGGTCCCAGTTTGTACCCTGGTTGATACCGTGTTGACTAATCTCAGGCAGACTGATGGAGTTCATGGCCCTTTCGTCCAGATTCAAAAAAGACACGAACGTTTGGCGTTAAAATTAGAGTTCAGAGTGATGGCTGGAAGCCCCTTCTGGGGCAGTGGAACTCTCACCTCTGGCAAGACCCGGAGCCTTGGGGGAACTAATCGTACCTTTCAAAAGGGGACTGTTTGATGATATGATGGGATTAAAGGAAGGAAAGGCACGCATTTATATAGCGCCTTTTACTAACTTTAGGAAGTGCTTCACAGTCAACGAAGTACCTTTGTACTGTGCACAGTGTTGGAGGCAATTATGAGGATAATACCTGGAGTGGTTGTCTTAGGAGGAATGGTTAGACAGGCTAGGCTTGTATCTGCTGGAATTTAGAAGATTAAGTGTTGACTTGATTGTAATTTATAAGAACCTGTGGGATCTTGACAGGATCTCCTGAGAGCATCTGGGACTTGTGGTCAGGGTTTAAAACACAGGTTAGATGAATGCTCTCCTCACTGAGGGTCAGGAGTCCTCGGAACCCACTTCCTGAAAGGATGGTAGAAACAGAGACCTTGAATATTTTCAACACAAGTTTTTTTTTTAAAGCAAGGGTGGGGTGGGAGTTGAAAGGTTATCGGGGCAGGCAGGTGCCAAACATGGATTTGAGTCTACAATTCAATCGGGTGCGACCTTATTGCGAGGTGGGGCAAGGTCAAGGGGCTGAATGGCCTACTCCCACACCCGATTCATACGTTCATGTAGGAAACAGAAGAGCCAATATGCGCAAAGGAAGCTCCCAAACAGCAGGGAGTTTGGGGAATGATTCAACAATTGAGATTTAAGCATGTTGTTTGAAGGTAAAGTACCAATCTAGTAGGTCAGGATGCTAAAAGATATGGACCCAATGTGGAAAAACGAAGACCAACTGAAACATAACAGAACGACGAAAAGGGATCAATGGACCAATTACTCTCCTTTTCGAATGATTTCTGCGTAAAATCACTGCCCAGTTATTTCCTGATTTGAGAGTTCAAGTCATAGTCCAGAGTCCAAAGCCTAAGCTAACACAGTAGTGTTGCACTTTCAGTGGGTAGAATACCTGTTAGGTGAGACTCTCAGCTGAGCCTCCCATGTAGTATTGGAAGGAAGAGTAGGGAAATTCTTCTCAATGGCTTGACGAACATTCATTCCTCAATAAGCATCACTTGTTTGAAAAAAAGGGTAGCTGTTCATTGTCATGTGAGGAATTACACTGCAAATACTATTTCCATCGATTGTCTGAATCGTTTTCAGAGATTGTCTGTTCACAAAAGGTGCAAGCCATTTCTAGCTAATAAATAAATGTTCACTATCAGAACTGAAATTATGATTCCCTACTTTCTTCGCTTTTGATCTGGACATCTTTGTCCAGTCTCAGAAGTATTCTGAGCCAGATTAGTGTTGAGAACTTGGGGTGAGTCTGTCTAGATGCAGATGATGGGCCAAATGGCTTCTGTGTCTGCTCAATCAGTAATCTAAAATGGTAACTGTAGAGCCTGGAGAAAGCGAGTCTTTTCATGTCATCAGTGTGAAATAGGATTCTATCCCAGATACCAGGGGTGAAAGGACAGCATAATAAACCACCATATCACTTAGTCCCTAAGAGGAAACATCTCAAAAGCCATGATAATGACACTGATTAGAACATTTTAACAAGCGTATGCATACAATGATTTATACTTTAAATGCTGCTTTACATTACGATAATAACACAGGAATTCTTAGGATTTTTTTTAAACAAGCGTATGTAAGCCACTAATTTAGAAAAATGCTGTTTAGCATTTGCAACAATAGCAGAGTTTAGGGACCTCTAACAAGCACATGCATGCAATTTGTAGTCGAGAGATTGCAGTAGTCTATGAGTAATGAGGTTCTAACCTGACCTGCAGAGGGGGACAATAACAGGTGAGAACTGGCCCATTAATCTGCCGCTTAATTGCGCATGGAAAAAAA